TCTCAACCTCATATGTGTGGTCCCAGAGCAGGGACATGACTTGACTAGCACTTCCTTCTCCCGAGGCCCACCAGGTGGTGGTTGCTCATTTGCTGTCAAGTTGGAATCACCCCATAGCTGACTCTCCAGTGAGTTTTCAGAGACAGTATATCCCACAGGACAAGACAGCCCATCCTTCTGAGGAGCAGATGGTGGATCGGAACCACCTGCCTGTAGGATCGTAGTGCAGGGTCTGTAGCATTCCCACTACCAGGTGATGCTTTCCCCTAAACCCTGCACTACTTTATTTTCTGGAGCACAAGCTCAGATTGCTCTGGGATGTCTAGCCAGCACATCTACGTCCCTGTGTGGTTGAAACTGTGCTATTTTGCTAAATCTAAAGGGTAGTGCCATGGAAGAGAAGTCTGGCAACCTGTTGCCATCAAATCATGCATGATGCACCAATTGGAAGTAAGTTGATGCGTGCCATCCAGTCATTTTTTTTTACTCTGAGTAACCCTGTAGATCAGTGCAGAATTACTCCATGGGCTGTAATCTTTATGAGAGCAGATCACCAGGTCTTTCCCCTGGGGAAACCACTAACCACAGCCAAGAACACCCCAAGAAGTGATTCTAGCATGTAGCATATGGGTTGCTGAGAGTCAAAAGTGACTTAGGGAGGTTGGGTTTGCTTAAGTTAGCTAGCATAGCAGTGTTGTGTATCTTGAATCCAAGCCAATTCATAGCTCTCCCTTCAGCAGGTTTTCAGAGGCAGTTAATCGCTTGGGAGGAGATGGCTCACCTTTCTTCTGCAGAGCAGCTTGTGGATTCGAACCATGTGCCTTTGGGTTGGCAGCACACTCCTTACCACTAAGCCAAAGCCCTTATGTAGGAAGGTGCTATTTATCTCTATTTATGCCCAAACTCTCCGTCACAGTTCCCACCTAGAGCATCTGCACAGGTGTCTGAGGCTGGCGTACGACATGTGCACCGCTGTCAGGTGTCCATCTAGGGCAGATGCACCAGACAGCAGGCATCTTCTCCTCCTGTGTGTCCCTAGACCCAGTCATACCGTAGCTCATGCAGTGAAGACAATGAGCAGCCCTGAACAAGCTGAAGCTTCTTAACCACTCCCCACGCTTTCTCTCCTCCACCGCTGCTGGCTGGCATCTGGGAGCTGGAGAGACATCGTGAGGCTGAGACTCAAGTCAAGTCATCGCTGTTGAGTCAGAACTGACTCATTGCTGACCCTCCAGTGGGTTGTCAGAGGCTGTAAATGGTACCAGAGGAGACTTCCCAGCTCCCTCCTTCAGAGCAACTGATGGATTCAAACTGCACGCCTTTGGATCGCCAGTACAACGCATTATCTTCTGTTGTGGTGTTGGTGTTGTTGATTGCCTTCAAGTCGAGCACAACTCATAGTGACCCTATGAACAAAAGGCCAGAAGCCCCCTCTACAACTATAGGCATTTATCAAGGTTCATAGTGTTTCCAGAGGCATGTTGTTTAGGAAGTGGACGCCACTCCTGCTTCCAACTTCACCCTCGAGGTCACCAAAATTGTAACCAAGGCCTGTGAGCAAAGTCCATTTCCAACCATGTTGGATTCCTCAGCCTGTGTCTTGCCAGCACAAAAATCAATTGATATAAAGTGAGAAGGAAACCAAAGGAACAGCTCAGCCCCACTGGAAGGAAAATGACCAAAACTGTGGAAATAGATTGAACTCAGGTTTCTCAGAGCTTCTACATAGAAATCTTTTGTTAGTCATTCTATCTAACATTCACCTTATATTCTGACTACGCTTCATGAGTGGAAATGAATAGGGAAATGACAGCTAATTAGAAAGTCATAGAGCGATGGTAATTCACTGTATAAAACATTACATGTATAAATTATTGTATAAATCCAAAAGTACACGTGCAAAACATGATGTATATAAATGATTGTATATTAACCAATAACATTTTTTCAACAACAAAAAAACCCATCATTCTACTACCACTATGAACAAAAAAGTTTCTAAAACTCTATTGCTGATGCTCAACTCTTTATAGACTGGACAGAATGTACCATTGTGTTTTCAAAGCTATAAATCTTTTCAGAAACAAACTGCAAAATCGTTCTCCCTGGAGGAGCTACTGGGTTTAAACTGTGAATGATTTGGGTTGGCAGTTAAGTGCTTAACCACCATGCCACCAGGGTTTCCTCTGAGCTTTCTGAAAATAATATAAAAACAAGTGTCTAGATGCTCTCTTGTTCTATATTTTCCCTCCTGTTGAGTACACTTGCCTAGATTGTTAACATTACCTTCCACCTATGAAAACAACAGACTAAGAATCATCTGCATTCAGCTACTAACTAGAGGTTGACAGCGGGAACTCACCACCCACGGTGCTGCCGAAGAAAGTAGTGGCAACTATTAAAACTCCAGGGAACACAGAAACCTCATTTCTACTCTTGACACTTGATGAGGTCTTGTGAATTAGAATCTGGCAATGAGCTTGGACTTCTTGTTACTACAAAGAGGGGGTAGCCCAGAATGTGACTGTCATTTAAGAAGCCCTGCTTCCCACCAAAAGATTGGCAGTTCAAGTCCACCCGCTGATATCTTGGAAGAAAAGCCTGGCAATCTACCCCTTAAGCTTCAGCCCTGAAAGAGCGCAGTTGTTCTCTGACACACACGAGGCCACCAAGAGGCAGACTCAACCTCAAAGAAAACTAGAGCTTTGTTTTCTAGTCATGTAGTTCTGAAAATTCTTAAGAGAGAACTTCAGGGAAATAAAACAGTATTGGCTGTCCACTGTTGCAGAGCCTCCTCTTCTACACACCTGGACTGAGCTTAGAGACAGTTACCTCAGCGTTTGACTCCTCCACCCTACATTTCAGCCCCTCTGACTGCCCAGCCATTGTCCTCAGGTGGTGGCCTTAGGTGACTCTGAAGAAGCAAGGCCACCCCTTTGTGACATAGCAGTCAGAGGAATCTAGCCAGACATTCTGAACAGGCCAGGACTTCTCTTAATTCGTTGACCTATACCCAAATCCCTCAAAAGTTATGCCTGTATCCCTTAAGCCCTTTATTGCTGGTACATAAAAACGAGTTGCCAATGGGTTTATTCCAATTCACAGAAACGGTGTGTCAGAACTGGGCTGAATAGTATTTTCAACGGTTGATTTTTTGGTTTTGTTTTATTTTTGGAATCTGACAACCAGGTCTTTCTGGCAAAGTGTCTGTGAGTAGACTTGAATCTCCAGTCTTACAGGTAGCATCTGTTCATCTTTTTTTACCTACCTGGGTTTCTGCAATGTGTTGTTTGTGTGCACCATAGGATAGATTCCAATTCAGAGTCACCCCCTAGGACTTAGTAGAACTGCTCTATAAGGTTTTCTAGGTCTGGTGGTCGAGTGGTAAGAAGCTGCACTGCAACCCCACAGGCACACGGTTCAAATCTACCAGCTGCTCTGTGAGAGAAAGATGGGCAATCTGCCTCGGCAAACCCACTGGAGGGTCAGCCAGGGGCTGTTTCTGATTTGACGATACACAACAAGAAGTCTGTTAGGGAGCACCTCACCAGGTCTTTTCTTCCAAGGAGTTGCCAGTGAATTTCTGCAACTGGCTTTACTATTAGCGACTTAGCACCTAACCACTGCACCACCAGTATCCCTTCATTGATACATAGTTGGACATAATTTCCTTGACATTTCCAAACAATCTTGTACTCATGAGTCTTCTCATGAATTTGTTTCTAAGTGTTTGACTCCAAGACCACTTCCCTCTCTCCAGACCTGGTATCTTCTACTTTGGAGATATATCACTCAAGAAGGAAGGTGCCCAAGCTAAATTCTGCCTAGATAGTTCTAAGTGGTGTTGTTGTTGTAGTCAGATGCCATCAAGTTAGCACACCATGTACAATAAAGCAAAACTCTGTCTGATCCTGTGTCGTCCACACAATCCCTACTGTGCTAAACCCCATTGCTTTGGGGACAATTCTTCTTCTTGAGAGTTTCCCTTTCTTTCACTCACCTCTACTTTTCCAAGCATGATTTTCCAAGGGCTTCTCCACAGACTGGTCCTTCCAGATATGTTATCACATGTGCAATGTATGTGATATGAAGTTTTACCATTCTTGCTTCTAAGAAGCTCTCTGTCCACACTTCCTCCAAGACAGATTTGTTTGTTCTTTTGGCAGGTCATACTCAATTTTCTTTATAACACCACAATTTAAAAGCATCAATTATTTTTTATTTTCTTATTTATTTTCCAACTTCCACAAATGAATGAAGTAATTGAAAATACCATTGCTTGCATCAGATAAACCTTAGTCTTTAAATTGACATCCTTGCATTGTAGCCCTTAAAAGAGATTCTTGGAAGCAGATTTGTCCAACGAAATGCATGTTTTGATTTCTCAACTACTGCTTCCACAGATATTGGTTGTAGAACCAAACAAAAATTAAATCTTTGGCAACTACATTCTTTTCTCCATTTATCAGGATTGTTGTCTCTTGGTCGAATTGTGAGGATTTCTGTTTTCTTGGTGTTGAGGTGTAATCTATACTGAAGATTATAGACTTTGACCTTCTGCAGTAAATGTTTCAAGCTTCTTCACCTTCTGCAAGCAAAGCTGTGCTATCTGTATACCACAGGTTGTTGACGAATCTTCAAGTCCTCTTTACTTTTAACAAGTGAAGTTGTGTCATCTACATATTAAATGGTTTTGATGAATCTTCTTCCAATCCTGCCCCAGCAATCCAAAGTCATTTCAGAGTATCATCGAAATTGGAAATGTTGAAATGGGGAAAATCTTACCAAATGATACAGCACAGCCTGTTCATGACAGAAAAGAAAACCAAGCCCTAGAGTGGCAAGGTCACCCTTTCCGGATACTGCTGGTCGCTCGGAAGCCTGGAGCTAGGATTAGCCTTGCCTTCTCCACTCTTTTTGTAACTTCATGCTAGAGTTTGAAAAGAAGAGGGTTAGTCTGGCTCACACGATAGGTTACACCCTTCTGTAACAATCCCTACCTGAAGTAGAAAAACATTGATTGGAATGTCTAGGTTTTCAGATCTGGTATCTGTTTCTTGTATCATTTGGCCAGGAGTTCTGTAGAAAAGAGAAAACAAGATTTCTGCTTCCCAACCTTTGGACCTCAACCACACACCTAAAAAAACGGAACTTCCTGCTTCTTTATTCCCTACCAATGGCTCCTCGGGAGTAAGATGGGCAATCTCCTCCCATGAGACAGCTTCTGAAAACCCACTAGAGGGTCAAGCTATGAGTCAGTTCTAATTCCATGGCAATGACTTTGACTTTTTTTTCCAAATTCCTCTCTGGGCTGTCAAGGAAGCTCTGATGACCTAGTGGTAAGAAGCTACACTGCAATCCTGAAGGTACTTGAGAAGGAAAGAACCCAAACTGAACTCTGTCCCTGTAGACAGCATATTCAAATTCACCAGCTTCTCTATAGAGAAGGATGGACAATCTCCTCCCATTCGATTAACTGCCTCTGAAAACCCAGCAGATTTGGTTCTGACTCCATGGTACACAACAACAAATGACTGGACCATCGTGAACACCACTAAACTCTGATATGGATGTTATCTGGTAAATGATTAGAAATGAAAACTAGTGTTTTAGCTAAGGTAAAAACCCTCCGGAAGTCTTTGGAGCAGAGAGAACCATATCTACAGCCTTGTCTACATTTAATATTTCAATCTCAATTAAAGAAGCCATACCAACGTGAGGTGCCAGGAATAGGTCTGTTGCAGAAGTTGATCATCCAAACACTCAGAACATTCCAGAGGTGACATCACAAAACAATATGGTGTTTTTCAGGGTTCATGGTTTCTTGCTGAGCATCGCAGGAGGAAATGAAGCATCATGCTTGCCCCTGGCTGTGTCCACACTCCTAGCCAGGTCAGTGTTACACAAACACTAGCCCCTGTTTGGTCATCCCAGTTGCCATTCAGGTCCCCACTGTCAGGCTACACTGAGACACCCACCTACCCACCAAACCCCAACCTCTGTCTATCTCTTCAGATGTAGGCTCTTCTACTTGGGATGGGGTCACTTGAGAAGGAAGGAACCCAAACTGAACTATGTCCCTATAGATACCATACAGATGAATTTTTTTCCTAATCCAGTCTGCTTCTTCCGGTCTAACAGATGTGTCTAGTCTCTGCTGTGGTATTCACATAACACAGTGTTTTCTTCTAGGGCTCTGGCTGCCTGGTTGTTAGGGAGTTATGCTTCCCTCTCCCTAAGTTGGAAGTAGTGGGAGGTTCTTATCTACCAGTTGCTTTGAGTAATAATGGAGGATAATCTTTCTCACCCACCCGGTGTGATTATATCCTGGAAACTTGATGGAAGGTCAACCGTGAGTCAGTTTCAACTAAATAACAATGAGTAAGTAAGGGATAAGACACTTTCTGGGTTTACAACTGGCCATAATGAATGATCTTGAAAACTCAAATTCATTGCAAATACTTTTTTTTTTCATGTAAGGTGACAGTGTATTCACGGCTCCAAGAGAGCTTATCTTTTTCTTGGAAGAGGAGAGGGAAAGGAAGAGAGGAGTTACCATCGAATCCACTACCAAGTGCAAAGAACTTCTTTTGCTGAATCCAAAGTAAGAGTAAATGAAACCACTCAAAGAAGAGGCATCAATAGACCAGTGGTCAGGGTCCAGTAAATAGCTACCACATGCTTGTTGTCAGGAGGGATCCGTCCTTGAAGAAAAACACCATGCTCAGAAAAGACAGCATCAGCGAAAGAGACAAAGACCCTCGACAATATGTTCTGATGCAGTAACTGCAAAGGGGGCTCAGGTAGAGGAGATATTGTGAGGATGGGGCGGTCTCCTTTGTTGTGAGCTGGTTTGATATGAGTGGGACCCACCTGACTAGACAGCACCTAACAACGGCACGTACTGTGGGCAAGTCACCCACATTCTCAGCAGCTCAGCTTCCTCTTCTCCGGGGGGTGGGAGGGGGAAGATTACCTAATTAGAGAGATGATAGAGAAAAAGGAGCAGACAACTAGTAGGTCATCAATAACTAATCATTGTTTTGGTGCCCTCACCACCATGCTTCCTTTGGTTGAGGAGCCTGGACAGATGGTACACTTAGTGGTACTGCTAGAAAGCCATGATGCTAATCTTGGAATTACAGGATTTGTTTGTTATGATGTGCAGTAACAAATTCAAGCCTCAAGCATCAATACAGAAAGATGCCACGGACAAAATCATGAATGATCCAAGAAGCATTAAAAGAAGACGGAAGGAGTACACAGAGTCACTGTACCAAAAAGAACTGGCCGACACTGAAAAATTTCAGGAACCACTCTATGAGCAAGAGTCAATGGTAACAAGAGGCTCGAAACAGAGGGATGTGGATGTATAGGGGGAAGAGGGAATTAATCATTGGGTTGTACAATTTGTTAGGTGGGGGTTGAGGGAAATGGAAAGAATTTATATTAGAATTTTATAAATAAACTAGTGAAAAGAGAAAAAAATAAAAGAGTCAATGGTAACAAAGGAAGATGTTCAAGCTGCACTGAAGACACTGGATAATAATAATAATAATAATACCACCCCCCAATGTTCACAGCAGCATTTTTCACCATCGCAAGAACATGGAAACAGTCCAAATGTCAAACCACAATTGAATGGATAGAGAAATTACGGTACATTCACGTGATGGAATACTACACAGAAGAGAGGAACAATTATTTTGAAGATTACTACCTAACTTGGGAGACTGGAGATTAAGTGAACTAACTCTGTCTCAAAAAGACAAACACTGTAGAAATAGAAAGATATCTAGTAAAACATGTATGGGGATCCAAGGTGGGAAAGGTGGGGGTAGAGGGGTGAGGATAGGTGGGGCAGGTGGGGATAATTATAGGGTCACACAATATAATGGGTAGATGAAGGGGTGGGTAAAGGAAATGTGAAAGATCCAGTGTGAAAAACAATGCATATGAACTTTGTAAGTAAACCAGTATAAAATAAAAATTTTGTTAAAAAAAAAATAAGGTCTCAGGAATAGATGGGATATCGATTGACATTTTTCAACTAACAGATGCAATCCTGGACATGCTCATCAGTCCATGCAAGGAAATTTGGAGGACATTTGACTCACAGATAACAATATTTTTTCCCATTTCCAAGAAAGGTAATCCAGTAGAATATGGTAATTATAAAACAATATAATTAATAGCATGTGTTGTTGTTGCTGTTGATTGCCTTCAGGTTGAGCACAACTCATATCGACCCTATGAACAAAAGGCCTGAAGAGCTTGTTGCAGAAGATCAAAGACTACAGTTTTCAATATGGATTGCATCTTAACATCAAGACAAAGATCCTTACAAATAGGCCAGTGGGCAACATCATGATAGATGGAGAAAAGAGGAAACGGTCAATGGTTTCATCTTACTTGGACCCACAATCAACATTCTTGGTACCAGCAGTCAGGAGACATATTGCATTGGACAAATCTATTACCCTTTCCAAAGAACTGAGGAGCAATGATGTCAGTGTGAAGACTAAGGTGTGCCTGATTTGGGCCATAGTCTTTTAAATCACTTGCTGTGCTGCTGAGAGCTGAAAAATGAATTGATTCCTTAAAACTGTGGTGTTAGAGAAGAGTATTGAATATCCCATGAACTGCCAAAAGAACAAACAGCTATGTCTTGGAGAAGGCATAGTCAGAGTGCTCTTTGGAGAAAAGAATGGCAAAGCTTCATCTCTCATACTTTGGGCATGTTGCTAGGAGAGGCTATTCCTTGGAAAAATATAGCATGCTTGTAAGGGAGAGGGTCAGTGAAAGAAAGGAAGACCCCCATAGAGATAGATTGACATGGTAACTGCAACAAAGGGTCAAGTATGTCAGAGATAGTGAGGATGGCTCTGTAGGACCGTTATGAGTCATACTCCATTGACAACATCTAAAAACAACTATAAGAGAGGAACTCTGGTGGCTTAGTGACAGTTCAAACCTATCACCTTCTCCACAGGAGAGAGATAGACAGTGATTTATTTCCTCTGAAAACCCACTAGAGGGTCACCTATGAGTCAGTGCCCATTCCACAGTACATAACAAGAGCAACTACAAGAAAATCTTGTTTTAAAGTCATTGCTTTAAAAATATCTTTTGTAATGATAAAGTTGTTGTAATTCTGTGCCATTGAGCAGACTAAAACTTAGACACACTAGGATCAGTGGTTCTGAATTCTGCCCTCTACTGTGTCATCCTCATCTCTGACACAGTAGAGTCCGAAGCTGAAGTCACTGTGTTAATCCATCTTCCTGGGAGTGCTTCCTCTCTTTTACTGACCTTTCCCAGCATCATGTCCTCCAAAGGACTGCTCGCAGTATGTGAGATGAAGCTTCATCAGCTTTGCCTCCAAGAAGCACCCTGATTGTTCTTTCTCCAAGACAGATTTGTTCACTCTTGGCACTCCACGGGATATTTGGTACTTTTCTTTAACACAACAAATCACAGACGTTTATTCTTCTTCTAGATCATCCTTACTCACTACCCAATTTTCAAATAAATAGCAAGGAATTGAAAAGACTATGGCTCCGATCAGGTGCACCTTAGTCTCTTTTTTTAATTAAATTTTAATGAACATTTACACAGAGATTTGGGGTTTCCATTCATTCATTGTTGCACTATTTTCTCTACCCTCCCCCCAGTTTGTTCCTCTTCCCCCCCCCGAAAGTCTGTTTTAATTGTCCTATTGCCACAGTGCTTGTCAAAACCAGTTCTGATTAATCTCCTTTGTCAGTGTGTCTTTTGCCATTCCCTATCACTCCACCCTGAGAGAGATTTCACCCTGATTCATAAGGAAAAGGGGACGGCATATTCTCTTAGCTACTGCCTGCTGAAAAGAGACACTGTAGGTTTCAGGGTGAAGATCTTCTCTCACTATTCTAAAGGGCCCCTTTGGCAATAGGAAACACATAGACTATTGTGGAGATTGGTTTTGGAATTTAGATGCACTGTTATCAATTGTTCTTAGCCGTACATGTTCATATCCTTGAAGATTCATCATGGAACTGTTGCAGCCTAGAAGACACAAGTTTAACTAACAAGTTAAAAGTACATGAGTCAAAAATTAAAAGCAATAATATTCCAAGTAGAGGTTCTAACAGTGGCACAAATCAAGTTACAGAGGGAAGGTAGTTCTTAAAATAAAAGGCTTATTGACTAGCACTTTGTCTATTATAGTATAAAGGTTAGGAACCACAAGATGTAGAGGCTCAGCTATGTCATTTATTATTCTTAAGTCCTGGACCAAATTCCATCTACCACTGGGTTGTTTTACAGCTCGCAAGTCTGCATGCAAGGCAGAAGTGAAGTAAGGAACTGCTTATGAGGTTTTCTGTCAATTCCAACAACTATTTATTAGTTGCAGTGCAGCGTCTTGTCACTAGGCCACCAGAGCTCCCTAGAAAGTTTTTAGAAGCCATAAATTACACAGGAGGAGGTTTCCCATCTTTTTCCTTTGGAGCAGCTAGTTTATTTGAACAGCTCACCTTTGAGTTGGTAGCGTAACTTGTTACTGACTGAACCACTAGAGCTCCCTGACACACTGTGTAGTTTTTTAAAGCCTGAGACTAGCTCAGATTCTCCTTTTGGGGGAACAAATAGAATGTAGTTAGTCTCTGCCAAGGTAGAAATAAATTACATTATGCCAAGTAGGTAGGCTGGAAACAGAAGTTATAGAAATCCTTGGACTGTGGTGTTAATGAGACTCTCTATAGGAGATGGTCTGCGCTTCTGTAGATCAGGCTCAAATTAGTGA